TCAATACATGATTATCTTTTATAAAAAAATGGGTTAATTGCATGGTTGGTCACTAAGATTACAAAAAACGTTCATGTTTGGTCACTGAAAATATTTAAATCCAATCTTGGTCATTCAAATTAGTTAACTGGTTCAAGTTTGGTCACTCTCCGTCCAACTCCGTTAAATTTATCTGATGTGACCATCAACCCTCAAAGTTGATCGTTAACTCAGTAACATGGCAATTAAAAAATAATAAATAAAATAAATTTTAAACTTTTATCATTTCCAACTCATTTTCACAATAAAGTAAAATAAATAAAACAAAAAAATTATTATAGTTAAAAAATTGAAGGTAGCTTCCTCCTCCACCGCCAACACCTTCTCGTTCGTCACACAGTCGTCGCCTCACCTCCAAATCCAGCAGTTCGATCTCTCCTCCACCGTCGACATTATCAACAGCGTCGTCGACGAAATCGAGAAGTTCTCGATCCCCGCGCACCAGCTGGTCATCGTGCACGAGATGAACAAGAATCCCTGGATCACCGAGCCAAACGTTGGCACCGACCTATTCTTATCGAGCTCGTACGCCCTGAGCGAGACGCGGTGGCTACTGGCGCTCCGGCTGCACACTAGGGCGTGCGATAGGTCGTCCGCAGTGGCTCTGTTGGTGGAGCTGCTGGAGTTGGCCGGCGGCGGGAGGGATGATGGTGGTGGGAAAGAAGAAGAAGAAATGGAGGTTGGATTGGGACTAGGAATTGATGAGTACATCATGATTGAGAAAGTGAATAAGTCGTTTTGGGCTAGTGGGAAGGACATGCTAGGTTACTCACTGAATACGCTGCGGACGGCCAATTTGTAACTATAATAATTTTTGTTTTATTTATTTTACTTTATTGTGGGGGTTGGAAATGGTAAAAGATTAAAATTTATTTTATTTTTTATTTTTTAATTGCCACGCCACTGAGTTAACGATCAACTTTGTGAGTTGACTGCCACATCAAACAAATTTAACGGAGTTGAACGGAGAGTGATAAAATTTGATCATTTAACTAATTTGAGTAATCAAGATTGAATTTAAATATTTTCAGTGACCAAACATGAAATTTTTTTTAAAATTTTAGTTACCAACCATACAATTAAAAAAAAAACTGTTGCTAGGGTGGGTGCCTTATTAGTGGTGGTAATTGGTAAACTGTTGGTGTTGTAGACTACTAGACTGTAGTATAGTATAGTCCACTTTCCGATAAGTGCGCCTCCAAAACCAAAAGGAAAGGTCTATAAAAAAAATAAAAGAAACGAATTAGAGAAGGAAAAGAAATTGAAACAGAAAATATAAAGAGAAAATGGGAAAACTCTGTAGTGTGTATCAGCTGCAGCGGTGTGCTTTTTCAATTTTCAGCTTAGAAAAAGCGCTCACGGGAAAAGCGCGGGCCTTGTTCCTTTTTCGCGCTTCCTTCTTCCACTCCACATACCATCCGCGACCAAAAAGCTTCGATCTTCAATCCCCAACGCAGACAATTTCACTGAGTATTACGTTTTTGGTTTTCCTTCATCTATCTTCTCCGGCGACCAAGAAACAAGTAGCATAAAGTGTTCTTTCCCTAGGTTTTCATTTCAGAGAATGAAATTCGGGGAAACATTCCGAGAATACCTTCACGGAGATCAGGAGAAGTTCCTGGACAAATTCTCCCATGTCGAGTACAAGCGCCTGAAGAAGGTGCTGAAGCAATGCCGGAGTTCTTCGCATGGCTCGCAGGAGATTTGTCGAAACAGCCTAGAAGAAGAACAAGTCGAAGAGGAGGATCATCATCAACAGAGCCACCCTGATTTCAATCAATTCTGCCAATGCCAGTCCTGCCCAGGTCAGATTTCTCGGTTCCTCTATCTGGGCGATTCTCGGTTCTTCGTGATTGTGAGAAAATTGAGACGCTTTTTTTTTGGCTTAATCTGAAATTGTAGTGTGCGATCAAATGTTCTTTTCGGAGTTGATGAAAGAAGTTTCGGATATAGCTGGATGCTTCAATTCTAAAGCTAGGCGTCTCCTCCACCTTCACGTGGCCAGGGGGATGCAAGGTTATGTGTTGTGGTTTCGTCAATGCTTTCGAGATGATAAGTTAGCTATGGCGGAGGAAGGAAAGATGCTGATGGAATATGTTACCATGAATGCTATCGCGATACGCAAAATCTTAAAGAAATATGATAAGGCAAGGATCCCAGTTCCTTATTTCCTTCAACTGATTGGATTTCCTACTTGTATGGAACAATTTTCATGATGATAGATGATTCTGATGTTCCTTTAGGTGCATAGCTCTGTGAATGGAAATATTTTCAAGTCCAAGATGCGTGCGGAACATATTGAACTTCTGCAATCGCCTTGGTTGATTGAGCTGGGGGCGTTGTTTCTGAACATCAATGGATTAGATGGAGGACGATTCAGTGAGTTTTGCGGGAACTTTTCTTGTGATCTCGATGCTTCAGAACCTGTTATGAGGCTTACCTTGCCAAATTCTGTCACCATGGACTATAGCTTGACATGTGCCATTTGCTTGGTGAGGAATCATTTTACTCCGTATGTACCAAGTTAACCAAAGGTTAACACTTATTTGATATCTGATATGGTTCGTTATTGTGCAGGACACGGTTTTTAACCCATATGCTTTGAGCTGCGGCCACCTTTTCTGCAAGTCATGTGCTTGCTCAGCTGCTTTTGTACCGATATTCCTTGGGCTAAAAGAAGCTACTCTAGATTCAAAGTGCTCAATCTGCAGAGAGGTACGTTAAGGATGCAGGCAGTTTAGTGAACTATAAAATATGAAGCAAGTCATCTACGATATTAGGCATTATTCTACATGGTTGTAATGAGAAACTTTCAAAGCATGATCAACTTATTTCTTGCTTTCAGATTATCAAAATAGAGATAGCTACGACATTGAAGTATATGCACATAAGTGCCTAATAGACTTGTTTCCGGAAAGTATAGCTGGTAGCATAAGGATCTCTGTAATGATGACTATGGCATTGAAACATATGCACATAAGTGCCCAATAGACTTGTTTCCGGAAAATATAGCTGGTAGCATAAGGATATTTTTGTGATGGTGATCTGCTTTTTTGGTATGTTTCATTGGGTTTTCTGTTAATGGGACCTTTGTTCTTTCTCTTCCATTCATCTCTCTCTAGCATAATTCATAATCTGAAAGATTAGCTTTAACAAATATTGGAGTAACCCGGTTGTTTAGAAAACTTGTATATCAAGTACTCAACGTGTCTTAGAAATTAATAGTGGACACCTATATCTAACACATTTGATGATAACTGCTGCTGGCTTCTGATTAGCGTAGGTGTTTTCTTTTTCCTTGAGCAGAGATGCACATGTCTGACTAAACCCAGGTATATTCGTAGTTGGGACTAGTAGCAGCAAAGCAGCAGAACCTCATGGTTCCTTATGTTTTTTTATGTTTTAGAAATAACCATAAACCTTGTCCCAGTTATTTCTTGCTTCGCAGACCTGCTTGATGGGGTATTCTGTTCCAGTAGTGATTCTTCCCTGATACATAAGTGAAGCTCAATCTTACTGTCAAATTTCTCTGGTTTATAGAACATTCTTACCTGTTATTTCAAACATATGTTTGAGAAATCATACAACTTTTCTGTGATTCTGTCTATGATTGACCAAAGCAATCATCCCCTAATGCAGGCTGGCGTATATCAAAATGCAGTGCACATGATGGAACTGGACTTGCTGTTGAAACAAAGGTCGGAGACGGTGGAGTAACCTTTCTCTACTCTCCAATGGTTGACCAAGCATGCTAAATTTTAATTCTTTTTCCTCTTCCTTGAACATCTTACCTCCAGATGCAAGGAGAACTGGAAAGAAAGGATGGTAGCAGAACGTGCCCTGATAGTCAAGCAAACCAAAGAGTATTGGGATATGCAGACCAAATACGCAATCGGTTACTGAAGTTGGGATAGCTGATAGCCAGATGATTACGAGTGATTCTTCATTTTAGAGGGTCTAGGATTTTTATAGAGAAGGAGGGGGGAGTTGATTTAGACACAACGAGAGCCTGATCTGCTTCCAATAATGTCAGCAGGTGCAGTTGTACTGTCTTTCTGCCCAGAATATGGTGGGATCGGCCAGTGAAGTGTCATCCATATGTGATTTTGATGCAGGTAAATTGTTTAGTGTTCAAGAGCCCTTTGACTTTCAGGGTTAATTTTATGCAACGAGAGATTACTTCTGGAATTACAAGGTCAATTAAGCAATCAACTAATTCAGGTGAAAGACAAGTTGAGGTGAGGATCTGCTATTCAAAGCCAGCATGAATTTGACGATCAAATTGCTATTCCAAGGCTCCACCTCTGCCATCAAGATTCCAATTTCATTCTTTTTCCATCTTATACGGCAAGACTTCTCCAACCGGCAGTCCACTCAGCACCGCAGCAACCCTACTGACAGCGCCAACAAAATGACCAATTTGCCAGATAGCCAAGCTAGCATTTCCAAGCCAACAACAAGGCCATGAATCGATTGATAGTGCCACTAATTGAATCTCAATCTAGAGTCCCAGGTTTAAATTTCCTGACCACGCTAATTTCCCCCTCCTCACCCCTCTAGTAGCAAGTATAATAGGTTTCTATCAAAAAACAGCCAGCATTTCCAACCGGAAAATTGCGCATTGAAACAAACATTAACACCAAAATCATCAATTTGACGTTTCGCAGATGCATGGACAAGTTGAGCAAAAAACGAAATTGTTATAGAATTGCAATTCAAAGCATGCAGCAATTACACAATTCGATTACTGCTACCACGAAATCCCTAAAACCCTAATTACATGGCAGAGAGATGGAGCAAAAAACCGCAGACACAAACATAACCCTAGTCTAGACAAAGCATCTCCGCCGCCTCAAAACCCACTTGATTCTTTCTTTTCTAGACAGCAAGACTTGTCCGAGCGGCCGTCCATTCTCCTACATCGGCTACCTCTCCTTCTAGCCTCCGAACCCGTAGAGAGTCCTTCCTTGCCTCTTCAGAGCATACACCACGTCCATCGCGGTCACCGTCTTGCGGCGGGCGTGCTCCGTGTAGGTGACGGCGTCGCGGATGACGTTCTCCAAGAAGATCTTAAGAACGCCGCGAGTCTCCTCGTAGATCAGCCCGCTGATACGCTTCACTCCACCCCTGCGAGCAAGACGGCGAATGGCCGGCTTGGTGATGCCCTGGATGTTATCGCGCAGCACCTTGCGATGACGCTTGGCTCCTCCCTTTCCAAGCCCCTTGCCTCCCTTGCCGCGCCCAGACATTCTTGCTTCGGAGATCGAACGAGGAAGGTGAGAATGATTTGATATGCTTAGTAAAAAAGACGGAAGGTATGAGAGTGAGATGGAAAAATCTGTGGGTCAAGGTCATGGTTGTCATGCCAGTGGTATGCCGGCCGGTTGAACCAGGTCCAACCGGTACCGGTCATGAAACCGGCTGGAATACCACCGGCACAACCCTCCAGTCAATACCGGTCAAAACCGGTCAAACCCGGTCAAAACCGGGAATTCCGGTGGTTCGACCGGTTTGGAAGATGCCGGCCAAATGGCAAAAACGATGGCGTTTAAAAAAAAAATAAAAAAATTAGGGTTCAGGTTCACACTTCACAGCGCGCAGCCGAGCTCCCCAGAGACGCCATTCTTCTCCCATTCTTCTCCATTTCGCCGCCCATCCCTCCATTCTTCTCCACTTCGCAGCCGAGCTCCCCGGACGCCGCCAAGACGCCCACCACCACCAGTCACGATCTCCTTCCGCCGCAGCCTCCTTCCGCCGCGACCTCCTTTCTCGATTCGACAGCAGCCCGGCGCGTCTCGATTCGACAGCAGCCCGGCGAGGCAGGAAACGCGGCAGCCGGCAGCCCTTCTTCTTCCCTGTGCGCGGCGATCAGAGTGGCACCAACAGGCCACCTTCCTCAATTCACCTCCAGGTAACAACTCTGACTGGAAAGCTTCGCAGAACATGGCTCAAGAGATTTGATCAGCTTCCTATGAATGTCGGGGACGAAAATTATGACCCCCTTGATGTTCAATTTTGTTGTTCAATTTTGTAAGAATCCATGTTTGTTGTTCAATTTGTTGTTCAATTTTGTAAAACCGGCACAAACCGGCATAACCGGCATGAAACTGGTTCTACCACGGTAGAACCATTTCACTTGTAAAACCGGCGTACCGGCATAAACCGGTTTGACAACCTTGGTCAAGGTATTTATAAAGATGGAAATGGGGTTTGCTGAGGAAGTGAGAAATCAACGATCCGGGTCATGGAGTGGAAGACGCTGTCTCCGCCGTAGATCTCATTTAATCTACGACTGAAATGAGATTTTGTTTTAGACATGGATCGCTGACGTGGGTAGAGCGGGATGGCTGAACTAGTGAACTTCTCCCAGTTTGTTTGTTTTTTTGGGGGGAGAACAGCAATACAGCATGGTTGTCATGCGGGTGGGCGGTGGCACTCGGTTGAACCTGGTTCAACCTGTGTCGGTCATAAAACTGGCATGACACCACTGGTATGACCGGTATGATCGACTTGTGCATTCTATGTAATATGATATCACTTTAATGAATTTGATTAATAAAAAAAGTAATATATTATTCATTTTATGAATTTAATAGTTAAAAGTTGATGATATTTGTTGCATTGTAACTAAATTGTCCACAAATATGTTTTATATATAATTAAATACATTGGATATTAATTATTTTCACATTTTTTTAAACCGACATGAATCGGCACAAACTGGTTCTACCACCGGTCATACCATTCCACTTGTCAAACCGGCACAACGGTCGGTATAAACCGGTTTGACAACATTGGAGAACAGAGAACTTCTCCCAGTTTTTGCTTGCGTTTGAATTTTTTCTATATAGAAAATAGTAAAATTTGCTAGGGGTCTTTTTTTTGCTTCCCCCCGCAGCCGCAGCAATGTGTTGGGCGCGGAATAGACATGGAAAACACGACCCGACCCTAATCCGTTCGTAAAATAAAATATGGGTTAAGGTTTTTATAATCTGGAACCCGAATGACTTGAATCTGAGTAATCCGCTATATCCGTTTCATTGCATATATCACTTTCAAAATGATAAAATCACTAATAAATTGGTGAGATGTTTAAAAAAATTCATAAGGATTTGAAATACAAGTTTGGAGTGCAAAGATAATCAAACATAATTTGTTTATTGTAGTAGTATTACTTTCGTGACTGTTTTTTGACGATTTGTGCATTCGTATTTTTCTTCATTAGCATGGAAGGAGTTGAGTAGTTGTTAATTGACACGTGCTAGGTAAACCACTGTCACACATATGTAAAAATTTGTATTCCTTAAAAATTTATGAAGCATGTTTGATATTGTTTCTGAGAACGCTCATAACCCGAAATGCCCCGAACCTGATGGATTGGGTCAATATTTGACCTGAAATCAGCCAACCAAACATGACCAGACACATGCCTACCTGTAACCCGAGATTCCCAACCCGAAATTACCTAATCCGACCGGATTGCCAGGTCTAGCGTGGAAGTTGAAAACAGAGAGCTACGCAGCATCGTTTCATCGCCGCCAAATCATCATCCCCTTCCTCTCGTGTTCAAGTTTTCCATTGATAATGAGGTCCATTTCTTGTGGTGAGATAGCACCCCTATTAATTATAGGTTTTTTAGATAATTCATTTGTGTTGCATTTAATAATTTGTCTGAATTAAAACTCATATTAAATACTTTCCTTTTTTAGTGCACTAGTAGTTGTATCAGTGCATTGGTATCAGTGTACAGGGTCAATGATAGTTTAATCAGTCTAATTGTAGTTCCAAAAAAGGAATGTAATTCATATGAGTTCAGTGTACATCTAAGTACATCTAACGGCTAGATCACCTGACGTATACTATACGCCTGACGTATAATAAAAAATAAAAATTGACCGTTGAGATCGGCCGGAGCTCATCTAAGTACATCTAATGGCTAGATCACCTGACATATACTATACGCCTGACGTACATCAGTCATCACCATATATATGTATATATATATATGGTGACTACTTCGGTGCACTCACAAAAATGAGTGCGTACAATGCACCCAACTAAAAAACTAGTCTTAAGGTGTCGGATTTTGAATTTTAATTTGTAGAATTAGTGTAATATGATGATATAACATATGATAACAACTAATTAGAGGATTACTCTAAGCTCTATACCTCCAATTTTGAGTTCTATCCCTAAACCCTAAATTGTAAACCCTAGCCCTAAATCTCTAAACTCTAAATCCTTCAAATTAAAGTAAATCTTTAATGGTTTTTGTGCAAATTCATGTGCGTTATTGTTCATCGCATCATAACTGATGATTGACATAATTTTGACATAAATCGCATGTTTAAAATAACGGTTATGAAGCGAGTGCACTGAATGCACCCAAAAAAGTGAGTGCACCGAAAACGTCACCATATATATATATATATATATATCAAATCTAACACATTTATTAATATCCAATCTCGTTTATTAAACATACAACATCCAATTCATGACATCAAATCCAAACACTAGTTCGTTGAAACTCAAATCTCCATCTTACATACTTTGGTACAATCCATAAATCATAATAACTCAATCGATCAAATTCAATGCAATCAAACTCAACATAATACATGTTTATGATACTTGTTTTAAAACACAAAACATAGGTAAAAACTCTCCTCCGACCAATCGTCTGCTACCTCATGATGGAGTAGAAGTTGCACAGCTCCGACGTCCAAGCTTAGTTCCTCTGCTGCGGATTTGAACACAAAAGGGGAGGGGGTCAGCTAACTAATTTAGCTGAGGTGTGGCGCTGCTCCCTCCTACACGGTGAAGTCTATGGATACGTTTTCCACATCAATTGATTAACCACCTAATCATGGCATCTAGGTTGAAGTCTCAACCTAATATAATTCTCAACCTAGCATCCAATATCCAAATAATATGCAAGTGCAATGCATTTCCATTTTATTAATTTGGGCACCAAGGTCACCATACATCCACCCCCGCTCGACCCTCATCATCTCAGTGGTTATATCAGAAACCACAATCATATCTCTCTTGGCCACTGGCCTCATCGATCCTAATGATCGTCAGTAACAATATCAAATGGTTGGGGGTAAATGCAAGCCCTTTCAAAGTCTATGTGATTAATATGAACATCATATAAAATCATCATTCTCATCATAATCTCAATATAATAATCATCCATCTCAATCGATCTTGTTGTAATTACCAAGTCTATGCCATAGGGTAATTTGTACATATCATGCGTACTAAATTCATCAAATCATCCATTCAATCATCGAATAGAAATTCATCCGCAAACATTATCATCATCGTACATTCAACGTATAAGGTGGACGGTTTGAATCTTCGTACATGGTTCGTTAACCATTTAATCGGTGATAATCACCGAGTAATTTGAAAAGCGGACCCGCCGTGGTAAAACTCTGAGAAGAGGAATGAGTGCCACTACTCGTAGTACACTTCTTACAATCATATTCCCAAAAGATTTCACCGGGTGAATTCCCAGGTAAGTGGACGAGTACCACGAAGGTCTCGATTAAAAACCACTAGCGTAGACATAATTCTCCCATGGTAGCGGTCCATTATTCAAATTTTCACGAATCCGATTGTGGTTTAACAATTATCCCAAGTAATCGTATTAGGATAATTATTCAATCGCAGGCGTAATTTCACATAACTCATGGCCTGATATCACGTCATGAATTATTGAAATATCAACAACGAAGTCTCAAGAAATTTCACGATTCGTAGGGGTCAATTACAAAGTAAATTCTAAATACTCAATTATGAATCATCCAATTCTACTCGAGTATCAAAATCATAATAACGACATTCTTCATTTTATCTTCGTTAAATCCTCAGCTATGTTTCAATATCAAACACATAGCACGTAGTAAAACACCGCCTATTCACCGCAGGGTCCACACACCTTATTTATGACGTAATTTAACTCTGCACAGATGCTTTAAAAATTCCAATACTCCTTGATAAAATTCTCCTTATCTCTACGATCCTGTAAGCGAAAACGGTTCGTCGTTTGGACGTCAAACGAACGAATTACAGCCAAAATACGAATTCTGTCAGTTCTCGAAATTCCAAATACTATAAATAAAATTTTCCAGTCAAACGGGTCGTTGACCCTTCCTATGAAAAAAGTCCGTCCAGGTCCTCAAACCTTTCGAATTGACAGAAACAGTACCTGACTTTCAGAAACTGACAGTTTTACGTGGCCAACTTGCGAGGCTCGTTTCTCCCTCGTCCGATGTCGAAAATTGATTCCGTCGAAACGTGCATGCTCCTGGAATAATCCTCTTCGTAACGGTACCAACCACTCAAAAAATGGTTGAGGTCGGAGTTGACGTCGTCGCCGTCACGAGATTCCTACGAAACTTCGGTGAGCTTCCAGCAAGGCTTCTACCACTGGTATGACTTTGTGGGAACCTTCTGCGACCTCTCTGGCGACCTCCCTAACTCCAGAATGCCCCAAATACTCGCACTTATCTCTCTATTTCCTTCATTCCTTTAGTTGGGACTTATGGTCGTCATACGAGTTTTGGTTATATATATATATACACAACAACCCAACCATCCATTACTTCGTCGACAAAGTTGTTGTTGAATATTAACTCCAAATCCAATCTCTAATTCCACAACTCATGAAAATGGTGGGTCAATGTTGTTTTTCCTTTATAAAAGTCAAACTAAAAGAAGAGAGAACGTGGCTATCTCTCCTCCTTGTATCCTTACACATAAATAATAACACATGCTGGTGGTGAGTTATTGTAATGGGATGGTTTCAATCATCTTGGACAGAAGCTACGTCACTTAGGGAGAGCTTCATTTGTTTCTTCAGAAAATGATCTCGCCAGGTAATAGTTAAATAAACTAATATTGGCTTACTTATACATAAGCAATGCGTAGTCCAACTGGTTAAGTAGTGATGGTTGTGTACCTTCAGGTTGCTTGTTTGAATCTTGATGGTGAATATATATTTTTTATCACATCAGAATCTATCAACGTCTGAGCTTACTAGTTCGTATTTTTGCCCCTATCATAATTCCTTCATGCCATATTTATTCTCTCGATTTTTCACGTCTTTAATTGACGAGTACTCATAGTTCTTCCAAACCGTTAGAATTCATTCCAACTATTATTGGTGTTCTTTGTTCCAACGTCGAACCGGTTTGATGTGAGATTTAACCCAGACAAGGGATATTACAACTCTCCCCTCCTTAATTGGATTTCGTCCTAGAAATCAAATAGTATAATAAAAGTCTCTCATGACTTTTTATTCATAAATTCGATACGTTATTGACATTGT